ATGATGTTAGGAATGCATCTATTCAGTTAGGTTCGCCCCACTTGTATCGCGAAATATTAAACAGTATATCTTGTTTGTATTTTCAGTTAATGCTCATGAGCCATTTTCTCATCCACTTACCCCCGCCCCTGATTAACTGTGGTGTATTAGCTAGAGTAGACAAATCACTGGGGGAAAAATCCTTTTTGCTACACTGTATTTTCTTCAAATAACGATTTCCACTGTAGCATATCGATGTTAGTCCCGCATGACCTTCCTTGGTAATAGTCTGAGCTACTCAGTAGTCATGCCAGTTGGCTAGGCTTGATGATACCGACCTATTTGTTACCAAACCAAATGGTCACCTTGACAACCATGACATGATTTTCATGTCAGATTTGGGTTGGTTAGGCTACCGACTGGAGAACGGGCACAAATAGCGAAACCGCTCAGGCCGGGGACGCAAACATGCGCTGCGAAATACCGTCACTCCTTTATATGCCGTCACGGTCTTAATAGCAGCGACAGTCCAAGAAGACTATTCTGTGACACATTTGATACCAACTCCAAACTTCGTTACCTTTAAATGTAAAGCGTCAAAGCTAGGGAATAATCTGGATAACGTAACAAGTGGGAATTTAGACAGGCACAATTTAACTTAGAGTATTATCGTCTTACACCGAAACAAGCTTACAATCGGAGTACATATGGATACCAACTCGGAGGATAAACGTTCACTACAACCGAGATGTAAACATAATTTTAGGGATTTGATGGGGTTTTTCTAATGCTATATTTATATTAAATTCAGTGTATATCTTTCTTCTTGAGTGGTGATTGACACCCTCCCTTATTAAATCAGGGATTTGTTCATATTTGTTGAATGTATAATTTTACAAGCAATTCCCAAGAAGGAAGAAGCAATCAATCCAGCCGTCGCGACATCCGGCTCTCTATGAAGGGTCGAATATATGCTGCAGCAGTTAGGCTAGTGCTACTTTAAGGCGCAGACAATCGGCCACTGCGGGAACAGGATAAAAATAGATTGTCGGTATTCGAACACCACTGTCTACGTCGCATTGCACGTGTCTAGTGGGGTAACCGGACGAGCAATGCTCAGGTAAGGTGTAGAGTTTTAGGTAGTCGCAGTCGTCCAGTGGAACAGGTAGTCGACCTCCATAGATTATTTTGGTTGGGGGATGTGTTACACATGTCACCAGACTGGTTACCGCGGCGAGCGATGTTCTCCGAAGCAGGGAGCGGTTGGAAAAATGAAAGGCGGTCAAGCTAAGACCTGAGGGTATAAAAGCCCTGACCAGGAGTCTGAGTCCCGTTGGGCTTCCTGGCTGGGGACCCAGAGATCATGATCATAGATGATTAGATACACTGAGCGGTATGGTTGGGTGTCGTAAACAGCGGCGGTCATGCATCTGCTCGGTATTCTTGCAGCACCAGTCTATATGAATTCTCTATTCTCCGCTTGAATTTGTTTAAATTATTCCAATCCTTATTCTGATCTTTAATCTCAATGGGCGATCAAAAGACAGCGACCAAAACCGGTACATGAAAGCTCAGGGTTACTGGTTGTAAAAGCTGAAACTGAATTTGAAAGTAAGAGAAAAGGGGAAAAGTAGAAATCGGGGAGAGGACTGGAACACATGAACGATTTCATGACGACTGGCACATCTTGACTATCGTTGTTTGGGCTAGGGTCATACCTATCGGTCTAGCATTGGATATTCTAATTAAAATTTGAATTATTGTTTAGGTGCGTGTCAAATTATAGAGCACCTGCAAGCCACATCCATAGTAAAATAAAAGTCTGAATAAATTTTTAAAATTCAAACATGCGGATCATAATTATTCTCGCGCATTGTAATTCCATCCCAACAAACTGCATGAATTTCACGGACTTTCGTACAAACCATGTTCTCACTTAACTCAGCCTCCCACAGAAGCTCGAAGCACATCTGCGAAAGATTCGGTAGTGGTCACTATCCAGTCTGCCGGTTCGGACGATGAGGACAGTGGACCGACGAACCTGTCTCCCATTGCGGAGGTGGAGGAAGAAGTGCAAGCCTTCGACGACGGTATGAATGCGGCCGATCGAATAAAAGTTGGAAAGGCCAATATTCCAGAAGTGTCATTTTGGAATGCGCAAAAACACCTTCACAGTGAAACTAATCAGGCGGAAAGGACCGGTTCAGAGAAAGTTAATCATGTAAGTTTAAAAAAACTGGACTCCTTCTCATTAGAAGTTTCCTGCGCTGAGCTGAAACTACTACGTTAGTAGAAATTCTAATGGATATAAACTCTCCAACAGCAACCAAAACCGGCGCGCGAAAGTGCGTGGTAAATGACTGTAAAAATCGAAACTGAAAACTTCAGCTAAATCTAACTCGGAATTGTCAATTTCGGGCTTCTAATTCAACATGGTGACTTTTAATTAGATTAAAGAAGTATAGAACTAGTCAAAGATACACTAGATGATCCGCGGATACGTTTTCTGGGATGAGAGATACATTAAGATGAATATGAGGACAGAACGAGAGGAGACAGTGCTTTGTGCAGCTTGCATCGATTTTGACAAAGGCCTATTTCAATACGGACTTGTTCAGTCGGACCT